ATAGTTACCAACCCCTTAGTTACCCTTTTTGAAGGGTCTACACTTGGTTGTATGTTGTGCTTTGATCTTGAAAGGGGGAAGTCTTCTGCCTCTCTCCTTGCTAGTGTATAAAAAAGCCCATTAGAAATAAACTTGAGGCTGCTAGATATTGATCCAGGGTCCTCCTGAAGCTATCCTGCATCTTTATCTTTTTTCTTCATCTACTTCTATATTTACTATCTAATGTTTCTCAGTTCCTCACTCCCCGCTTCAAGGGACCCTTCGATAGGTCAGGGCTGAGCCCCAACACTGAACCCTGACAATAACATTTAATGGATGTTTGAGTCCATATAAATTCGCTCAAAGTGGAAAATAACCTTGAGATACAACTGCTATAGTCATAAAGGATACAATGCAGCCTTAATATTTATAGAAAACATTAGAGGGAAATAGTTTTGTTAATGATTCTAGATTAATATACAATGTTCAAGTTTTTGTTATTTGGGGAAAAAGGATTGCAACCAGTCACAAGTTCTGTTATTTTATTTTTTTCAAGGTCATATGACATGAGAAGTGTTTATTATTGATGGGAAGAGTGACAAGTACTGACTTTACTCCTATTATGCCATCTTATCATCTCCTTCCATCCCTCATTGTCCACTGCTATGTTTATGCTATAGGAATTTTATTGTTCTGATCAAGTCTACTGAGAACTCAAATCCATCCCATGCTCTGCTGCCTGTTTTTTTTTCCTGCAGAGACTGTTACTATATGAGACTCAACTTTCTCAGAGGTTGCTTTTATGGCTGCCTCTGGCCTAACAGAAGTCACTTTCTTTACCACTGGGTATGCTGTGGGGCAGGAATCAGGTAGCTTTTCTGGGAGGGAATTTGTTGGCATCATTTCCACATGTAAAGCATAATACTTCCTTGTTGATAGTGTACTTATCTGATCCAGGTAAACATGAATTTTGGCTCTGCCATAGTTAGAAATTTGACATTCACTTTATCATTGTGATAGGAAAGAGATTACACATTTTGCATATGTATGGTGTGAATGTATGTAGTTGTAAATGTACATGAATATGCGTGATGATGCCAGAGGTTGATGTCCAGAGTCTTTCTTGACAGCTCTCTACTTTAGAATATTTAGTTTTTTTTACACATTGGTAAAATATAAGGCAATTTAGTTACAAAGTCATTTCCACATTCAGTGGTATTTTCTATAGTGACCTAAAGGGACTATGACAGAGTGCTAGTTCATTGATTTTCCTTTGGTTGAACTTGATCTCAACAACCTATCCTCATGAAGTCATCTACTTTTAGACCAAGATTACCCTGGAAGTTCCAATTAAGTTGGGTAAGTCAGCCCAGGTAACAATTTAAGAAGCTTGAGCCTGGAAATTTACTCTTGTAAGAGCATTAGCCAAGCCAATGGAAGCCATCATCCTTACCTACAGTCATCTAATGCTTCTTCTAAGCATCCCATTAATTTTCCATACCATAACCTTTAGAAACATGTAGCAAAAATTAAAAAAGCTTTGTATAGGTAAAAAATGCCTGCAATTTTTTGCCGTATAATAGGCAAAAATATTAGAATGGAAGAGAATAGTCTGGTCTCATGAGTCATGAAATATAAATAATTTACAGAGTTTCAATAAATATCTTGAGAGAATGAAGAAATTAATATGTTCCAGATGTTTTAGTTCATGCTATTAAGGGCATTTGAATATAATCAATATTTATAGGTTAATAATAGCTAAATGAGTATTTAAATCTGAAGAAGATATATTACAATAAATTTGTTGACTATAACTTTGGTAGCCTTTGATCATGAACACATTTTTAATTATTAAAACTGTAAATGTATAACAAATTTAGGTTAATCTCTTGTATATATATGTAGGATATATATGTACACATAAACACATACATACATACACACACATACACACACTCGCACAATATCCTAAAAGGGCTGGCATTTTCCCCTTCAAAACTGTCAGTAAAGAGTAAAGTAATCCTAACTAACCATATTGAACTAATCAGACATCTGGAGAAGATGAAACATATCTACTAATTTTTAAATATACTTCACTAAAGATGAAGTTACATGCTGGAGGTATGGCTCAGTGATTGAATAGCATGTAGGAGATGTAGGAAGCTGTGGAGTCGATTAATACCGTACATATACACATGGAAGAAGAAAGGGAGGGAGGGAGGAGGAGAGGAGAGTGGGAGAGAACTTTAACAGAAGACCGTAATAGGAAAACTCAAACACAACATAAATATAATCATATTTATTAATTAACACATGAAGCCTGATTTTTATAATAGGCAAAATCCTGAAGAGTCATGAGAAGATGTACGTTGCAAATCTATGTTACTACTTTATAATGATGCTATGGGGAATATTTGAAAATAGCAACCAATAGAGACCATTAGTAAGAAATAAAACGTTTTTCAGTACACAGTATATATGAACTGAAATGATTTAAATGCATGCCAGAAGCTAGTTGCTGGATGGTAAATGGCCTTGCTGTTTGATCAGAATATCTATCACCTGGTGACTTTCATAACAAAAAATATTTATAGACTTTTTTTTATTATCTTTATAACAGAATGCAACAAGATGTATATATGTTTTTCTTCATCAATAAGCTCATGAGATTTATTAAAAATTCAAGTGAGGCATGGTGGTACATACCCTTAATGCCAGCACTCAGGTAGCAGAGGCAGGCAGATCTCTATAAGTTTGAGTCCAGCCTGGTCTTCATTGTAATCTCCAGGCCAGCCAAGGCTACATAGTGAGGCCCTGTCTTAAAAATAACAAATTAAAATAACAAAAATAAACAATAAAAAAGAAAATCAGCTAAGCATGAGCCTGTGAGTGAGCCAGTAATTTTATTAGAACTTCCTTTCAAATTCACTATTTCTAAACCCTGGCAAATGAGGTTTACTTCATAGACCTTCTGCACTTATGGAGCAGAGTTTTAAATTCCTATTTTATTATTTCTTTTACATCATGGCATATTTTTTATTTTACAACTAAATTATTATTTTGTCACGTAATGAACCAGTATCCATTCATCACTTGTATACCTGTCTCTTTCCATTATGCATTTTTCACATTTCTTAAAAATGATTATGAACATTATAACCCAGAATAATTTTTACCTTTTAGCATGTTAGCTGCTGGCTATTCTATAGTATCATAATAGAACAAAAACATTCTAAATTGCAAATTAATCTAGCCACTCTGGAAACCAGTGTGGAGAGTCCTCAGCAATATAAAATAATTCTACCATAAGACTCAGCTACACCATTCCTACACATATGCCTAAATGACTCTATATTCTACTCCACAGTTACTTGCTCAGCCATTTCAATATCTAGGACATGGGACAACTTAAATGTCCTTCAGCCACTGAATAGATAATGAAAATGTGCTGTACACAATATTATATATGCCAGATGTAAAGAAAAGTGAAGTCACGAACTTTGCAGGTGAATAGAGAGAACTAGAAGGGACTATACTGAGTGAGGTAACCCAGGACCAGAAAGACAAATGTCACTTGTTCTCTCTCATCAGAGGTTTTGAGTTCTGCGTCTTTTCGTGTGAGAGCATGGCCTGGCGTAACTGCAGAAGCCAGGGAAGGAAAAACGGACTACTGCCTGGGGAGGGAGTTTGGGAAGCAATAAGGTGCGGGGGGTGGGGGTGGGGGTAGGGGTGGTACAAGTGATCTGAGGGGGGAAACGGGGAGTGCTAGTTAGGGAGGGGAAGGAGACAAACACAGAAGAAGGGACAGGAGGGTAAAATAACAACAAGCATGTCTGAAAAAGTCAGAAAGAATCCTATTATTAACTATCTGCCTAAACTTGCCTACACTACACGTAAGTCAGTACATAAATATGCATACAGACTAAAATGAAAACTTCCCATCTGGGATGACAGGGCTCCCAAAAATGTATTTACTGTGAAGTAATTCAAAATAATGTTAGTTCATGATCCTAAAATTAACTAAATATCTATTAATTCCAATTTTGGTTGATACAAAAAAAAAAAGCCCGACTTATTGAAGGTGTTAATCTTTTTTGATCATCACAATGATAATTTTAATTTAGTTGAGCACAAAGTTGCTACTTAGAGTTGCTTTACATGATACAGCAAAGCAATGGAGGGGATTTTGAAGAACTTAAATGGACAGTTCATGGGAAAGGACATCTGAACCTGGACTACTGTGCTGGTAATATTTTCACATGGTAGTGAGACTCAGTAGGAATTAAGGTAATAATTATGCTCATTCAAGCTCTCAGACTAATCACACTATACAATTTACCCCAGTCCTGACAATTACCGATTTGCAGGTGAAAATTGGGGGGCTATAAATCTTTCTCTTTTTTTTTAAATTTTCTTTTTTCTTTTTTATTGATCATAATTTTTTTACATGATGTATGCTGATCAAGGTTTCACCTCCCTCTTCTCTTCCCCAATCCTCCTACACCCCCCGCTTCTCATTCCATGGCTTCTTTCTCTTTTAAAAGTCAGCAGTCAAACAAGCCCAAAGAAGCCAGAATAAATAAAAATGAATAAGCAAAGCTACACAGAGAAACCCTGTCTCGGAAAAACTAAAAAAAAAAAAAAAAAAGAAAAAAGAAAAAAACAAAGAAAAAGCACAAGAAACACATACACAGTGAAGTACACACATACACACACACACACACACACACACACACACACACACACAAAACCCATAAAAACACAAAATTGGAAACCATAACATAAAAACAAAAGACCAGTAAGATTTAAAAAAAGTCCCAAACAAAGCAATATGAGATCAAAGGTCTACAAAAATACCAGTGAGGTGGTTTTCTGATGGCCATCTACTGCTGGGTATGCATGGGACCTACCTTTAAACATGGTTTGGATATTCAGTGAGATGCCATCGGAGAAAACCAATTTTTCCTTAGTGAGAGGTTTTTGGTTGGAGATAGTAGGGATGGGAGCTCATGTCTACTTACCAATCTCAGTGCGGAGAGACCTTCTGGCCTGAACCTGTGCGGGCTCTGTGATGCTGCCACAGTCTCTGTGAGTTCATATGTTTACCAGTCCTGTTAAGTTTTCTTGGTGTCCTTTATCTCCACTGGCTCTTACAATCTTTTTGCTTCCTCTTCTGCAGAGTTCCATGAGCCCCAAGGGGTTTGATGAAGGCATACCATTTAGGACTGAGTATTCCAAGCTCTCTGATTCTGAACACTGTTCAATTAAGCTTCTCTGTATTTGTCTCCATCTACTGCAGGAGGAAGCTTTTCCGATGATGACTGAAACAGACTTCTCTATGGGAGAATTATTTCTTATTCTAGCACTTTCATATTTTTCCATAGACTTTCCCTTTCTTTGGACTTCCTTTAGGTCAGACTATAGCTATCATACTATTTTATATTTTTATACATTATTTTATATGTCATTAAAACATGACAACCTGCCACCAATTTGCATATTCATAAAATTTTTAAATTTCTGCATCACAAATTTGCCTGAAAATCTCTTGTACTCACTGAATTCATTTTCTTGCTCATCTCACTCTCTGTTCCTTAAATGTGCAGAATCATTTCTGCTCTCATTTTTTATTCCTCATAGCTCTGTGAGACCTAGAAATTGCCATTCTTGTTCAAGTCACTTGAACAATTTCTCTGTCACCTAATTTCAAAAACATATCACATTATTAAAAAGGAAATTAAAACACCCAACATTCAGAGCTGAACAGATTCATTCTCCAAATGAAAGGTGAGAGTGATGGGTTCTTGGAGTTCTATTTATTTTTGCTGTTTAGTAATTATGTTTGCAAATAATTTAATGGGCCTTCCTTATTTGAAATTGTGCTTTCTTGCACTACATTTGAGAAGAATGTTTTATTTTAATGAACTAAAATACTATTCTGTTAAAAAGAGTTTAGTAGAACGCATCCATATTCCTGTCTAAATATATGGTTAGATATATTTTCTAATAAAGCAGATCCACTATTGGATTTGTTGTTTTGCATAACAAAATTAAATACTTAGTCTAATATTTTATATTGGTATTTAAAAATGAAGGGAGTAGTTTTCCAAACCTGAAACACACAGGTGAACTTGGATAATTTTAGCAGCAACTACTACTACTCATTTCATGCCTCGCCACACTGCCCAACATTTTCTGCATGCCAATATAAAACAGCTTGTTCTGTGCTGACTTCAATCTCTCTGACACGAATGCCTTTAAAACTTGTGTCCACCCCCTCTTTTTCTCAGTACTCTAATACTTGACCAGCTCCCCCAACCCCAGTCCAGATGGATGGACACTTCCCATAAATTTCCTTACTCCCTTCTTCTCAGCTCTCATCTCATCATTCTACCTGTGTAAAATGCATCCCTTCCTTAAGATGATCTTTTAAAATGTATCCAGAATAGCATTAAAGGTAAAATATCTACCCATAGGAAGGCTTTCTAATCAGCTTCATTTCACTGTTGATTCATGTTTTTTTCACCTGACTACTTGAAGAGTAAAATGAGTTATGCTTCTAGGATATATACTGTATTAGACATTGTGGTGTACAAAGACATATTTCAAATATGGGTAAGAATGCAAGCACGGTTTTTCTTAAGGGAGTTGGAGGAAACTCCACTTGAGTGACTTCTACATTGGGAGAAAAAAATGGACATCTGAGAAAAATATAAGGAGAACGTTGGAGACAGAGAGCTAGGTTTTACAAAGTTTCAGATCAAGGTGAGAGAAAATCTCTGTTCCAAATCAACAAGATAGTCAGTGTTAGAAAAGTTTGAAATGCAATATGGGAAATAAACTGAGCAAAGCAGTCACCTCTTAGGAATTTAGGGCATCATGTTAAGGTTATTGAGAAGGTTTCTATTTCTAAAGTAGGCAAGGACTGTATTTACCTTCATGAAGATAATTCTAATCACCACTGGAGAGAACAGATAGAAGCAAAGAGTAATATTAAAGACAGGAAAACCAAATAAGCCAATTGTAAGAGTTTGAACAAAAAAGGTGACTTCAACATAGAAACAGCAGACAGAGATTGAGAGAAAAGAAATATCCAAAGGCATTAAGCAAGTCAAATTTGATGTTAGGTAGAGGTAAATGATTAAGTCTGGAATGTAGTTCCTGAGAAACTGGGGAGATAGTAGCAGCTTATGATTAACTAGAATGAATAGAGTGGGTTTTTTTCCCCTAGGGAGGTGGAGAGTTTTAAGATTTTTAATAGATTATCTGCAGACTTCACTCTATTGGTGAAACACTAAGGGAGAAATGTTTGGCAAATGTCTAGTATGTGAAGGACTCCCAGGGAAAGTAAATGATCAAGTTAATATTGAATTCAAGAAGGGACACTTCTCCCCTAAGCACAAAACCTTTTTGCAAGGAGTAATGACTGGCATTGATCATCAACTCCATGAATATTGTCTGTAACTCAGCTTTTAGACAGTGACATTTCCCTTTTAGTTTCTTCTAAGTGTAGTCTCAGAACTTATTCCTCGTTTGCTTTCATTGTAACAATTACTTTACAGCAAACTATTAAAAGTATAGGTCACATCAAATAATGCATGAGAGAACTGGAAACTACCATTTACAAAGGGAAGCAGCATCCAGAGCACACTCAACCTCTGCTGAAGACTCAAGAGTAGGAACTGACTGCATGGCAGCATCTGGTGGTTATCCCTATTACATGTTGATCCTTGGGATGAGTTGACCGGAAAGTCATGTGTGACTGTTGCCCAGAACACCACAAGTAGACACATGAGAACTCAGCCTTTTCAATGCAGAGAACAACACTATGTTTCCAGCATAAGCACTCCAGGGAAATGGCCTTGTGTAACCAAACTGCAGAAGCCACATTAGTGCCTTTCCTGAGATGTTGAAGTAGGATGGAGTGTCAGGTGTATACTACGGCTTGACAAGGAGGGGCGACATCATGAAACACAGAAGACTTGGGACTAGCTGCCATGGTAATGGTTATATCTACTGAAGGAATGGGAGGGATTTATTTAGTATTTTTAGTTCTCTAGAAAAAACTTCTAAGGAAGTATTAATGATTGAGAACACTAATAGGCAACTTGCTATATACTTACTTATCTTAGTGACGCTTATAAACACTACAGCGCTGTACTTATCCATTTTTAATTAATGGATATTCTCTCTGAGCTCTTGACAACAGCACAAAATAACATTTGTTGCTACTTTTTCAAATGATAAATTGAGTTGCTACAAATTTTCATTAGGGTTATTATTAATATCTCCTATTACTGCAAGCTCCTAAGTACTTCATTTATAACACCACTGGTGGTTCTTCACTTACATTTTATCAGGCTGGCTGGCTGGAAAGATAGAACATTTGATATGCGATAGAGATAAATGATGGCAGAAAAATGAATTCTGAATGTTGCTAGCAAAACCACAATTCGCTTTGCATACTTGAAACTCTAGAACTGGTAACACTTAATCATCAACTGACCATTTTTTTTTATACTTTTCCTGTCTGCCCAACTGAGAAGAAAATAGTAAGTCGGCTTTCGAATTGGAAATCTCTGTTAAAACCCCTTTCTTTCTAAGTTGGATGTTTTATGCACACACATACACACACACACATATGCACACACAAACACACATATACACTTTCACACTCATGAACTTACACCTAGTCATGAATCTGTAAATACACATATTTTAAAAAATTATCTGAATTCTTTTACTTCTATATCTGTTATTAGAACAGCATCCTATGTTCTTGTCATCTTAATATTTTATTATCTTTATTAACAAGGTCTTTGAGAATTTTATTGCTACTGATGGAAACAACTACTTATATTAATCAATAATCTACTTAGGTATATCCTTAGTTGTATACAGCACAGGTCTTGTGTGTAGGGTAATTTCCAGTTTGCTTACGGGGTCAAGACAGTTCATGATGGGAACAGCAAAAAGATAGCATGACCCATTACTAATTTAAAGATTTTTTTTTCATTTCACATCTTTCTCAGCCTTTCTGTGGGGTGATTATAGGAAGAAATGGCAAACTAAATTTCTAAAATAAAATTGTCAAATTATATTATTATACATGAAAAACCATTATGTTTGTTTGCTCATAAAAGTATTGCATATCTATTGTAGAAAATCTGGAAAATAAAGAAATAAAGCAAAAATCACGATGCGATCCTGGCTTGAGGTAAGCGCCTCCTCCCATTTCAATGGATCTTTCTCTAGTCCTGTTTGCACATGTGTGTTTATGTGTCCCAGAGCAATGCTGGTCAAGAACTCAGGAGCCCCTGAGCTCGCTTCTTCACACCATCCCTTACTACACCGGAGTGGCTAAAAAGCTTTTCAAAGAGCCATGTTTTAGAGTCTCTTGTAGCGCCAAGTTTGGATGTCAGTTAGTTTAAGTTGTTAGCGAGCTGTGGGGAGGTGGCTGGACTATTTCACTTCTGTTGCTGCTGATGCTCCCAGAAGATGTTTTTGCTGCCTGGTACTTCAGTTTCAAGGTTTCATCTCACCAGTATTCTCTAAGTTTAGAGGCAGATGCAACTTCCTGATCCACGGGGGTCAAAGATTCTGGTGAGGGACTCTGTAAGGTAGAGTATTTTAGTTGTGACAAGAGGTTTTTTTTTTTTTTTTTTTTTTTTTTTTTTTCAGTCAAGGAGGTTTGACCATGATTAATTAAACTAACACTGTTGTGCTGTGTTTTAATTAGGCAAAAGCAACAAGCCTGATGTTCCACTTCATTTCTTCTGTTTATAGTTTTAAGTTCAGTGCCCATATTATTGCTTAGGAGACACTTTCTTTATACTTTATGGCTTTGTTATCCCACGCATCTCGCTCTCTTTTATACTCAGTTGAAAAAATAAAGACAGATTTTGTGGGAAGTACATATGCTCCTTAAAAACCTCAGTCCCTAAATGACATATGTCACTTATGATCATGTCTCACTGATGAGGCTGGGTTGCATGACTGCTCATATTTGCACAGAGGTTGGGAAATGTGGTGATTGTCTTGCCATCCAGTCATTTCCCACTCACAAACGCTGTATCAAAGAAAGGTGTGTGAAGTTTGTACATGTCAAGATGCTTTATTGTGAGAATCCCAAACCACAAGAACTAGTTAATGATCTCTCAGAATACATTTGAAACACCTATTTCCTTACATTAGATTTATTTTTACTTAAAGTAGGTAGATAGTTTATTTATTTCTACAACAGCTGCATAGGTTATATGAATAGTTTTGCATCTTTATCTGAATATTTTATCAACTCAATTTCTGATATCATTAAAATTTGCCTTTCAGACACCTCACAAATTCTACTTCTATGACTTACAGTTCCTTATATTTGGAGAATGGAGACTTGGGATTGTCTTTTCCTTTTCTTCTATTATGAATAAATGCTCTACCCAGATTTAAGCAAGGCATAGTAATTTAAAAATTCTGTCAGAAAGTGTCTAGATATGATTTTCTTCGGAGAACATTCACATTTCTGATAGTCTCTGGGATTTATTTTTCAGGGAAGTTCATGCTA